CAAAATGACCCCTGCCGCGTTTCGCGTCGAAAATGCTGTTTTGTCTAGATAAATAACACCTAAGAGCATACAGAATAATTAGAGCAAAAAGCATTTAACGTACACATACTTGTTTCCAAGACCATCCGCAGTGATAATTACTCGAAAACTTTCACATCTACGCACAAAATGCGGCAGGAGTCAAAATGACCCCTTCCGCGGTTCTAGGTATACGAAAATGTCAGCGGTTCTAGTGTTAACCCTGCATCGCCTAGCACAATACTCGTTCTTCAACAATCAATAGAGAAGTGGTGATGGAGGTAAATAACAAGTAAAAATATGAACAATGTATAGCTACTCGGGTTTAGGAATAACCCTGTTCTCTACCACAAAGCATCCCAATAGGATGTCATCTTTGCCAAAGGAGACGTTGAACCGATAGTGTGCATACGGCATGATTGGAATTTTTGGAAATGTCCAATCTATGGGGACGTCATTGATCTCGTACGTTCCCTGAGAATAGAATTGATTGGAGTTCACATTCAGATTTGGTTTTGTCAAAAGCCGTATAAATATATACTTTCAACATACTTAAAACAGATATATAAATAACCAACAGTATTGTGAAGCAGACTTGCACTTAAATTACTTACTGGTTTGACGCTGCATACTCCTTTGGTTTCTGTACTCTGAAAAAAAGCGTTGAAAAATCCAGGGATATTTTCCTTAAGGTGACGACAAGCAGAGTTTTTAAAAATGCCGACAAAGGCGTTTTCTTTCCATTGGTTATTTGACCGAACTCCCATATTTGCTTTCCCCTGTTTTATGGTAAAGTTAAAATTAATAAAGATGCGTGCACGAGGCATAAAGTTTAGGTCGGACACCAACAAGTGGAAAAATTTGAAAAGAACCTACCCAGAGGCTGTTATCCAAAGGCCCTGGTTTTATGGTAAAATTACCGGTCACGCGTTGCAGTTCTTTTGGTTTCATTGGGTTGAAGTGACTAGCGCGCATATACCAACTCCAACTAGGCACACGGTCGTCTGGTTGACACGTGTAAAATCGTTCGACGACAATTTTGTAAGGTCCCTACTCAAGAATGAAATGTGAAGCATCACTGTTAGAAAACGCGTTACAGTGAACACACTACTAGGTTGACAACGTCGTCCGAATTCCCAAGAGGTATTCGTCGTTACGTATTATGTTATTTACGGCAAGAGTGTTGATGGGTTTACTGTGGATGCTCGTGCTGGACAGTAGTGCTAGAGCCACGAGTCTGAATGCCATCTTCAGAACACCAGTAGGTTAGAGTTAAGCGGCTCTAAACTCTAACCTAACGTTCTGCCTCTGAGAGACAAAATGTACTGAGCCCACTAAAAGCTGTGCAGTGCAGCACCAATGCAACCTGTGAAGCGGAAGTTCAGCACAATAAAGAGGATAAGAGATAAAGAGATAGATAGATGGCGTGGCCAATGACACGAATCATAATAGTAGCGCAAATAGTTCGCTGTGAAAGGTTTTTGTGAAAAAAAAAGCGAAAAAAAGTTACAAAATGCTTCGGCAAAAATAATTTATGAAACTATTTGGTATGTGTCAATTCACGAAACATTTCGTAAAGTTACAAATATATTTCGTAGTAACCGCAAAATATTTACAAATTTTATACTTAGTTAGAGCTTTGGAAGGAAGTTTTCGTAATAGCAAATTCACTGAGAAAAATGCTTCAAATCACGATTGTACGGTTTACAGTGTTTGTCTACAGTTCAGTAGGGTGCAGTTTCAATTTCAAGGGCTCACCGGGGGCCCAAATTTCACACTCTCATGCCGGGTTTACGATGGAGCTTTTTTCGGAACAGAGCGAAATTTGTGCGGAACGGAACGAATCCCGTTTGCTTGTTCCTTATGAGCTTGTTTATGTTGCCATTTTGACGGAACGAAACGAAATCTCAGGCCGGAAAAGAACGACGGGTTCCCATTTTGATGGGACTGGCTAATTTCTTACTTATTATTGTGTATATTTTTGCAAGTATAACTTACTGATAACAGAAGAAATTGTCAGAGGCAGTTTTATGGTTAAGATGACTCCTTTTGCATTAAAAGGGAGAACTTGTCTCTACCATCGAATATTCGGTGAAAGTTCGACTGATCTTCTGATTACCACATTTGTATGGCAAGCACCCTGTTAAAAATTTATTGGGGACGCAACACTGCTCAATCTTTTAGCATCAGTTTTTTGACTAAAAATAGAGAACCACTTTTCAACAGAATGTTGTACTTTCTTTTTCGTTCCGGACTGAGCCTGTTTGTTTTTTCTGTTTCCAGGTGCTCGTGGAGTACGACGACATGATATGGAAGCGCAGGGAGTGGATAAGCGTTTACCAGGAGGGTCTCTTCCAAATGTTCATGGTGGAGAGCCGGCTGGTGTGGGCGCCGCGGCTCGACCCCAACGACAGCAAGACCTGTGTCGCCTGGCCTGCCCTGGTAAGTGTCTCTCACTACTGTCACAAAAATATTTCTAGGATTTCACGAAGAAGTCGCTAACGTCCTTTGGGATTTCCCAACGGTCTCATCCGTAGTAGCGCTCAATGAAAAATCCTCGGATATCACGTGTTTAGAAGCTGACAATGGCAAGTTTAGCTGTCATGCTACATTGTTAAAAGTACAGTTTTCATAAAATATACAAAACGCATCCCTGTGTCTGTGTCTAAGTCAACACTGCACACTAAATCCTTGTGCACTTTGTTGTGCATAAAACTTGCATAATTTCACTCAGCCATAATATTAAGCACACTTTTATGCATAACTATGTACAGTGTGCATAATTATGCACATTTTGCACACAATTAGTGTGGATACAGAGTTCACGAAACGCCAGCAAGATTTTCACGCCAGGCGTGATTTTCACGCATCATCGCAGACAATCAGGAACCAACTTTCATCACGTCGGACGTGAAAATCACGCCTGTTGTGAGAACGGGGGAACTCTGTATCCACCTTTATGCATAAACATTTGTTCATTCTTATGGCTGTACAAAACTCTGCAAGTTTATGCGCAATAAAATGCATAAGGGTTTAGTGTATGTAAGTTGCTTACGAAGAACTGCTCTTCGTAACGTACAAAGGATTTGGAGCATTTCTATTACAAACAAATTGTTTGTATTGCGAAGAGCCTGGTTTTTAATACAAAGGAGGCTTTTTGTATTACGATTACGAATGTGGTCTGTTCGTAATATGATGGAAAATCGTTCGTATTATGGCTGCTTTAGATCCTTTGTACGTTACAAACCCAATTCTTCGTAGTACGAACACTCACTGCAAAATTCTCTGGGAATTCCTGCAGCTCGTGCTTTTTGCTGTGTGGTGTATGACGAGTCTTTTCTGTCCTCGCAGACGTTCTCGGCCCTGGTGGACAGGATAGCCGCAGACCCTTCCCAGCCCAGGCCCGTCGAGTTCCTGGTGGATCGGGAGCTCAGCTTCAGGGTCTACTCGAGGCTGAAGCCGTTCCATGTGAGTACAGCGATAGCGCGTGGTGTGGTGGTAACATCCACGTTGTCAAACAATTGTGTCACGATGATTGTGTCAGTGTCAGTAGCACGCTCCAGAAGAGTGCCGAGGACAAGAGTGCCCCCACCTCTTCCCGCCGCTCAGGCAGGCCCCCTCGCAGGCCGGCGCCGCGCCCGGGTAGAATGCGACCAAAACTTTTTAATTACTTTCCTCGTTGTCTGAGTGGCGCCTACGGTGGCCAAGACTCTGACTATAAGAGCACTTGTGTCGGAGGGTCGCCCCCCCCCCCCTCGCCCTCACGCCCCCCTTCTATTGACCGTACTGATTGAGGCAGCACAACGCAATAGCCTCCAGTAGCGTTGACGTTCGCCCCGCCGGGGCGCGCCTCCCCAGGGAGCCCTGGTGCGGGTCCTGGTGCCGGAGCGCCGTGGAGTTAGGCAGCGCGAGCACGTCTGTGTCGGGCGGGCTGGCGTACGCTGCAGGGGGCTCCACTCGGCTGCCGGAGCGAGACCCCATTTATGCACTTGTTTGCGACGAAAAACATCCTCGCAAAGTGGGGTTCGCGGAAAGTTTCGACTCTCTCGACTTGCCGTCCCGTCTCGCTGCGACAAGGTGTCGCTAACGAACTCCCGCCGGGCCAGACGGTGTGTCTCGTCGCGCCCACGGGGCTGGCAGCCGGAGAGGCCACAGTCGCCCCCCATCCCCATCCCCAGCAACAGACTAGGAGCCCGTATGTCTGTCTATTCCCGCCAATCGCAAACTTCGTCGAAAGTTTACTTTATTAAAGTCTCTCCATATTTTCATTTCAATATATAGGAAAAAAATCCCCTATAGCGATATGGGTGTTTGGCTGAAATCGAGGATTTGCCATAGGTGTTCAATAATCCACGAAAATTTCTCACAAAGAAATTTTGTTATACAGTACTAGTTCACTGAGACAAATTTTCAATCAACTAAATCTGCATTTACGATCAAGGCGATCTGCTGGAATCATGCCGTAGCATTATGCCAAATTTTGGCTTTCTTTCGAAAGAAGGCCAACTTTTGGCATTCAAACAGGCCAAAAATTGGCAACCTCTATAAAAAGGAGGCCAAAATTTGGCATTCAAGGAGGCCGAAAATTGGCAGCCTCTAAAAAGAAGGCCAAAATTTGGCAGTCAAAAAGGAGTGCCAGCGTTTTGGCATTCTAGGCGACCACGGCTTTAACAGTGCGCATGGTATACTTGATTCAAGAACGTCATTTTCTAGGTGTATTGGAGTAGTATATTTTGGACGTTTCCCTGACGTCTCCCTGTGTCTGACGTGCCGGTTTTTTTTTTCAGGAGTGGGACCCAGGCACCGACCCCGGGGGGCTGCACGACCCGGAGCTCGGCACCCCCGCGGCGCGTGACGTGTGCCAGGCGTACAGCGCCGTGCGCCAGGGGGTGCGGCGCTGGGAGGAGGTGCAGGACGGCTACCGCATCCTGCTCGACACCCCCTCCGTCCTGGTGGGCTACCGCGTCGAAGTGTACCGCTCCGAGGGCACCACCCAGTGGTACACGGCCGTCATCGTGGGCTACGACGAGAACTCGGGGGTGAGTACATAGTATTTTCTTTGTCGGAATTTGAATAAAAATAATAATAGAAACTTTCAACATTATTTTCATTTGTTGGCAGTTTGAACTATCTTTTGCCTCTACTTGTGAAAGTGACAGTCAAAAATTTCTAAAGGTCCTTGACTAATCTGGACTTCTGTTCTAATGTTACTTTCCTCTTGCAATTTGCAGGAAGTGACGGTGACTGACGACACGGTGCTGGAGGAGCACACGGAGCACCCCAAGCTAACTCAAATACGCCTGATCGGAGATGGTGGGTAATCCTCTCAGACAGCTTCCCCTCACCCGCTCCTCCCTCCACCCCCTGCTCACCCCGGTTCTCTGTTGCAGTAGTGGATGCCATCATGCGGGGGGAGACGCTGCAGAGGCGCTCTTCCCGACACCAGACGGCGCAGTCACCCCCATCGGTAAGTGCTCGGCGTGATGACCGCAGCCTAGGGTACCTGGGTACGTGGGCGGCTGATTCTACCACTCGCCTGCCTAGTAGGACGTCTGCTCTTCTCAGGGCGTCCTGCTCAGGGGAGCTGCTTGCTTAGGGCGTCCCGGCCCAGGGCGTCCTGCCACAGGGCGTCCGGCCTCAGGGCGTCGTGCCCCAGAGCGTCGTGCCCCAGAGCGTCGTGCCCCAGAGCGTCGTGCCCCCAGAGCGTCCTGCCGCAGGGCGTCCTGCCTCAGGGCGTCCTGCCCCAGGGCGTCCTGCCCCAGGGCGTCCTGGCCCAGGGCGTCCTGGCCCAGGGCGTCCTGCCGCAGGGCGGCTGCCCACCCCACAGGGCTCTCCCACTCTGACGGCCTCCTCCTTGTTGCAGCCGCCGCCGCCCGCGCGCTTCCAGCACCTGCTGCGGCAGCAGCAGGACGGCTCGTCCAGCAGCCGCAACAGGCGGGGCAGCCGCAGCAGCGCCGCGTCCACCCCGACCACCAGCACCGCGGCCGCCTCCGCCACCTCCACCGCCTCCGACGCCAGCCCCGCCGCCGTCAACAACAGCTCCCTGCCGGCGGCAGCGCCCTCATCGTCGTCGCCGTCCTCATCGCTCGCGTCCCCCGCGCCGACGGCGACCCCAGCACCACCAGCACCGCCGCAGCAGGAGGAGAGCAGCGCCGGCCAGGCCGCCCCGAACGACGACTCAGGTAAGACCGCCAACATCGACTCTGATCTCCTGCCCGTCCCTCACGCGGCATACCGGGTTTGAATCAAATTTATCCCGACTTCCCCAACGCAACTGTAGGGCGCACTGGAAACGCGAGTGTGTGGATGTCTCACACGACACGTGTATACCAATTTGTGCACTTAGGGGAGTGAAGGTGTGAATTCTCCAATGAAACTTCACACACTTGTGACTCCATGTGATCGAATGGCGTCCACACACCTACAACTGTGCGACATTCACACCCTTGCGGTTTTGGTGCGCAATAATATTTTCAGTGCATACGTAAGAAATCACCCAGAAAATACGAACAACATTCTTCTTGCCCAGTTCAGCCACTACGCGCCCCATCAGCGCCTGGCACTTAGGCAACACCTTGCCTCATTTCACGTGTGTATTGCGGGATGGCCTACCCTGAGTCCCGCAGGCGCTAAGATCCCGCGTAATTTACCGTCATATTGTCGTATTAATCCGTTTAAGAACGGGCTCACTTTTTCGAGTAACCCTTATACAATTAATTTGGGATTGTCCACCATGCGATGTGGACGCTGCGTTGAATTTCGTCTTGAAACTCGGGGCTGGTCGGGTTCCTGTCACGTTTCTTCAGACCCAGGCTGACAAAGATGATAGTAACTATAAACAAATTTCCGTCTGAGTCCCTGCTTGCCGAGTACAGTATACGACGGGGTACGTGTTTTATGTCAAACTTGTGGGCGGGCGTGTAATGGTGGAGCCGGTCCCAAAAGCTCACCGACATGAGCTTAAAATCAGCGGTACCCAGAGTACCCATAAAAGCGCTCTCGCAGAGTCGGGGCTTGTCTGTTAGTGCGGTTCGATGGAACGGGAACCTCGGTCTATGGCCCTCCAGTGCGCCCCCTGATCTGGTGGGAGGGGACGCGCGAGCCAATGGCGAGTCTGGTCCACCAGTCCAATCCGCAGCAGGGGGAGCACGCCCTCGCGCGCGCGCGCGCCCCCGCGGCCAGGTGTGCGGCGCGGGCGGGGAGCAGGGGGTGAACGACCCGCGGGCCAGCCGGTGGCGCTGGCAGCCGCTGCGAGCCGCTGTGATGGGCTGCGGGGACGCCCGGGCGCTAGGCAGCCCAACGTCCGCGGCGGTCTCGTGGGCTGCGGCCGGGCTGGCGGTATGGGCGCCCGGGTGGGAGCGCCTGGAACTGGAGCGCGGTCTGTGGCGCATCGACTGTCCACAGCTTCTGCCCCGCTATGGACGCGAGCCCCGCATGTCATTTTCGTGACCGAATGGGGCAGTTAATCCGCTGGTGCGTAGCCCTGGGGGGACTTCGCAACCCCCAGTATCGTAAGGCGTACACCCGCAGGGTCTGCTTAGTGTCCATCCCATGAGCCGCACATACATACATTACAGATATGCCACAGTTGACGAAAACAAAAGTCCAGGATCCTGAATTCAACAAACCATGGAAGCATGCATATGAATATTCCAAAACAAAGCGAACTTCCTTTGTAATTACAAATGTATGGATAGTCACCATCATAATTTCCTCGCAATTTCGGAAGGCTCATGAGGCTGCAATTCTCTTGTTTCCCTCATAAGTTACGAAGGAATGCTTTCAGACCTACCCCTTATCCTTATGATGCACATTGTTGTGCATATTCGCAGCCACAAGTTTTTACACAATACCACGCATACCCGCGCACGATCCGTGCCTAGTCGTGTTAAATCGTTGCATACGATTGTGCATAAAAATTGTGCATAATAATTGGGCTGCATAAAATTCTGTTCATGCACAACTCCATGGGGGTTTAGTGTATAAGTTAACTACAGCGGGTCCCTGCCCCGGAGGTATGGGTTGGCCGATCCCTCCGCTGGGCAACAACCTCCTTGTGGCTCCCTTTCCTCTTCTCCCCGTGGTGGTGGTGGGGTGGGGGGGGGCGCACAATGCTCACCTAATTACCCCCAGGGAACCTCCGCACTACCCCCCTCCCTCCTCCCCCCTCGCGCCTCCGCCTCGCGATATCGTCAATGGCCTCCGGCCTTCATAAACAGAACTCGGCGCGCGCAGCACAACACGAGGTGGAACGTGCGGCAGGCGGACAAAACGCTGACAGAAGCAGACGCGGGTCTGCAGACAGGCGAGGCGAAGGCGGACGCACTCGCTGACGGGGGGCGCCTGGTGGGTAGGCAACCGAGCCGAGCCCCGCGCAGCGCTGCTTCCACGTTGCCACCCTCCCGGGCGGTCATCACCCGATTCCCCCGATTTTAATTTTCTGCTCTTAAATATGTAGCTCGAAGCGAGGAAAATCGGCCGACCAGCCGGTAACGAGACAGTCCAGCTCGATAGGCAAAATATACTGGCGCAAAGACAAAGAACGCGCATCTACAAATTCTAAAAGGTATCAAAATAATTCTGAAAAGTTGATCGTCAGAATCTAAAACGGTTATCTTCACCAAAAGGGAAAGTTTTACCTCGGGGTAGGTACAGCGACTCTCAAATCAATAATATCAATCCACATATCAGAAAATTGTGCTTGAACCAGCATTTAAATTTTGTTTAGTTCGCAATTTTGGTGTGCCGATAAGAAGCGCAATTTCATGTTTAGGAAGCTTTGATTGATTGAATAGTTTATTGTCAACATTAAAAGGACTAGAGAGTCCCGCTGCAAATGTAGACCTGCTGTTATTAAACTAGGGGTCGTCCTTCTTACTACAAAAAAGAGAATGAATCTTTATCAACGTCTATAGGCTTATCAACACTGGATCTAGAACGTCGATCGGCAATCTTTATCAAAACCGGAACGGCAATCAGCAACGGGAGACTTTTACCTTCTGGTAGAGACAGCCACGAGGGACTGTCTAATAAGGTACAACAATGCGACGCTCTCTCTCTGTCTCCAGGGCTCCGTAACTCATTATTCAACTGCCCTTAACATTATTTTAAAAGTTAAAGTAATACCTTTAATTTAGTCCTTTGGAGATAAGTTAGTTATTCGATTTGCCCAACTTTTCTCCAGAGTAAGTACGATTAATTTCGGGTACATTTTAAGATCCATAACTTTATAACTTTTAATTTGACATGTGTTTTGTTACGTTATTGCGAGTAACCAACATTAATTCGTGTCATGTTAAGTTACGGAGCGTTCTCTCTCTCTCTCTCCCTCTCTCCCTCTCTCTCTCTCTCTCTCTCTCTCTCTCTCTCCTTGTTGTTTGGTCGGTTGGCGCGCGGGCCTCGGCATGGGCATGGATACTGTGGCAGCGCGCGACGGAGAGTTGTGTAGAAGAGAAAAGAAGAA